AGAGACTTTCTTCATATTGCTGGAGTTGGCCAGCCAATTCATCCACCATTTGTCCCTCTCTGCCTTTCCAGGTCATTACTGCCAACGAGTTGGGAGACAATGATGCGCTCCGTACAAACTTCCGCCACATGGGTCGTATGCACTTGACTTCGTCTGGATCTTTGGATAACTGCTCGTTGTCTAGGTCATCATAAATCCAGCACAGCTAATTCCCTTGGGTACTGGATACCTCTCTCCATAGTGGTCCACTTGCCTGGGTGACACAGAACATAGAATCATTAAGGTTGGAAAAGATCTCTAAGATCATTCAGTCCAACCATCGACCCAACACCACCATGCCCACTAAACCATGTCCCAAAGCGCCTCATCTACACATCTTTTAAATACTTCCAGGGATGGGGACTCAACCACTTCCCTGGGCAGCCTGTTCCAACATTTAACCACTCTTTCAATAAAGAAATTTTTCCTCATGTCCAATCTAAACCTCCCCTGGCGCAACTTGAGGCCATTTACTCTCGTCCTATCACTAGTTACTTGGGAGAAGAGACTGACACCCACCTTGCTACAACCTCCTTGAAGGGATATCTTTCCTTCACATCTGACAGGAGTCGCCTCCAGAGGCTGAGGGCTTGTGCCCCTTTTCCAGTCACTCTGTCAATGTCCCTCCCTAGAAAGGGATCCCAGCTGCTTGGCTTCCTTACCCTCTAATTCCAGGCTACTGGCCCCATTATCCCAGCCTTGGAGCAGCCAGGTGACAATGTACTCACCTGGATGACAGCTGAAATCTTTTCACGTGTCTTGCAGCTCACTCTGGCATAGAGATTGGGTGGTTACTGTCTTGTTTATGAGTTCTTCCTCTCTCTCCGAGGAAGAGGAGGAACCTTCCCGCCGAGTTCTTCCTCAGGGGGAAATGGGGAATTCTTCCTCTTCCTTCTCCTGTTCTCGTGATGGCCCTGCTTCAGAATAGTCTGCTTCTTCGCTGGTGGGACAGTATGCTTCCTCCTGCTCCCTCTTAGGAGGAGCTTCTTCATCCCTTTCTAAATGAGCTGACTTCCGCTTCCAATATTTCTTCTTGTGTATGGGGGCAACTGATACCGGCATGGGTTGGTTCTCTGGTTTAGCTCCAGTGCCTGTTGGTTTGCACCGGGGTTGGAGTAGCTGCAGTGCCTGTTGGTTTGTTTTCCCTCTTTTCTCCCTGAGGGTGCTGCATAATACTGAGCAGTGTTTGGTAGATACTAGCCAGGGCCCAGCACAGTGCGATAAGTTGTGCCGCTTTGGAATAACCACGGCATTTTTTTTTCAATATTCTATGATTTCATCGGGATCCTGTAGTTGTTCAGGAGTGAAGTTCTCTAGGTCCCTGCCCGTATTGTCCCACATGCTGTGCCACCCATGACCTTCCAGCCTCCGGGCAGATCTCTGGGTGACTTTTTAAATAGTTGTTTAACCCTAAACAAGACCTGAAACACATTCAGAAGACAGAGCAATAGGAACATTCTGGCTTGAACATCCCAAGGATGTTCAAAATTCTCGAGAGCTGGCGTAACTAGCCTGAAGGAGAAAGGGAAGGTGAAAGAACAGGGGAAAGCATCCCCCGCCCCCATCTTCCCCATAGACTGGTTCTCGGAGGAGAAAAGGTGAAGAGTGTTGTTATTAATAATTTCCGAGAGATGGAGCCCGAGGTATGGAGACGACAGCAATACCAAATACAAATACCAAATTAGTCTTTTGACCGGTAATGTTATCATATCATAAGCTGATGTTACACAGTACAGCAAAATGATAATCTTGACCCATCTCCCAGGAGTGATAAACAGCACTGCAGGGAATACCTACTGCAAGTGAGGATTTACATAATACAACCATGCGAACAAATAAAACAACATTGTGACCAGCGACCACCAAACTAATATAATGGATGTTTATAACAAATTTATTTTAACACGCTCTGGTCAGATCTGTCATTATCTCAACCCTTCGAGCCCCACATTGGGCACCAAAAAGGACTGTCGTGGTTTAACCCCAGTTGGCAACCAAGCATCGCCCAGCCGCTCGTTCACCCTCCCCTGCCCCAGTGCGATGGGGGAGAGAATTGGAAGGGCAAAAGTAAGAAAACTCATGGGTTGAGATAAGAACAGTTTAATAATTGAAATAAAATAATAATAATAAAAAA